TTTAGATTCACAGCAATGTTGAGCAGAAATAGAGAGTTCCCATATATTCTCGCCCCCTTCATATGCACAGCCTGGCCTGGTATCTGGCACCAGATGGTGCTTTTGTGAACCTACAATGTCATGTCAATGTCACCCCAAGGCCAGAGTTGTTGACATTAGGCGTCATACTTCATGCTGCCCATTCTGTGAGTTTTATCAAATGTATAATGACATGTGTCCACCATTATAGTATCAAACAGAATAGTTTTGCTGCCCTAAAACTGCTCTAAAAATCTCATCTCTATGAGTTTTTATTAAGGAGGGCATGCGCCGTGGTGAGCGCTGGGTGTTACATGCAATTAATGAGTTACTGAACACTACATCAAAAACTAATGAGGTAGTATATGTTGGCTAACCGAACATAATAAAAAATGTATTTTAATAACGATTTTATATATCCAAGGAGTACATGATGATATTTTGATATACATATATGTAATGAAATGATTACTACAGTCAAGCTAATTAGCATATCCATTTCCTCACATTTACCTTTGTGTGTGTGTGGTGAGCATTCCTGAAAGCTCTTAGCAAATGTACAGTGTATTATATAGTATTCTTGTTTAAAAGATTTTATTTATTTTTTTGTCAGAGAGAGAGAGAGAGAGAGAGAGAGAACAAGCAGGGGGAGTGGCAGGCATTGGGAGAAGCAGGCTCCTCACTGAGCAAGGAACCTGATTCAGGACTCTTAATCCCAGGACACTGGGATCATGACCTGAGCCAAGGGCAGATGTCTAACCAACTGGGCCAACCAGGCATCCCTATTATATAGTATTTTTAACTAAAGCCATCATACTATACATGAGAGGTTGAGACTCATCCTATATAAATGCAACTTTAGAATCTTTGACCAATGCAGATGGATACTTAACCAAATCAAAACCAAACACAAATATAATACTGGAAAGTATTAAAAGACATACTAAGGAACTGAGTCTACTGAGACTTACCTTCTTAGGATATGACGTATGTGAAGATTCTCAGAATTGGGCTCAACCAGCATTTGCCAGTTCAGGAAATCTCATTTCACACAGTTCCTTTGGAGTCTGTGCATACAAGGTTGTGGGATGTTCCCAGAAAAGATTTAAGGTCCCTCGAACCTCTGTCAATGAGAGTAAATACCTCCTCTTTTGTGCTTCTTGTCAAATTTAATTTTGAATTTATCACATGGCAAAATGTTGTGGAAAGGCAATGAAAACCAAAGTCTTCTCCCAACATAGAAAAATGCACCAAAAAAGTCTAAGAGAAGGAAAATGGTTTTATTATGGAATAAGTATTAAACCAGCATGCTTTTGCTTTTACAGTGCCAGATCCTGGGCTCAGGGCTATTGGTAGATTTATCTGGCCCAAACACAAGCTTGAATTTGTTCAGTTAAAGGACTTTGGTCTTGCAAAGCCTCCCATTCATCTAACAAGCCTTGTTTCTAACAGGAAATCGGGAACTCTTACCATTTTCTCACAAACCTCACTTCCCAATTAACCCCTGGAAATCAAAAAGAGAAAGCAAGGCTAGTGACAACCTACCTGCAGAGTATAGAAGCGGCCGTCCTTGCAGCTGCATCCAGAAATCCAAAGGAAACACAGAAGGAGGAAGGGCCTTTTATGGGTAAGGAATCACAAGGATGGTAAGTACAGCTCCCCTTCCCTGTTGCCAGGCTCTGTTCTACCGAGTTTGTGTATCACCTCACAAAATCCTCCTAGTAGTGCTGGGGTAAGTGTGATTACTTCTATCTTATAATAAGGGGGCTGAGTCCCAGAAAATGTGCCTGAGTTCCTGGCATCCTAAATGGTGTAAGAGTCAAGAGTCAGACTCTGCACCCAAGTCTGAGTCCACAGTCTTCTCTCTCAACCAGTACACAGTCAGTGTGCACTGCCTGGTATAATTTTGCATTTCATGGATTTGATTTTTTCCTACATGGACCCACCGTCAAAAGTTTGCAGGTAGCCAATTTCATAAAGTACTACTATGACAGAGGAAATGAATAGGGTGTGGTTTTAATTTTGGATTGGACATACCTCTCTATTTCTTATAAACATTCACAGAAATACAGATCAGCAAGTAGAAGAAAGTATACACCATCTATAATCCTGCAGATTCAGAGAAACCTACTCTAGGTTAGTGTATTATTTAGTGATTGCTGCATAACAAGCGATCACAAACAACACATATATAATTCATAGCTTCCATGGGTCAGGAATCAGGGCATGGCTTAGCTGAGAACTCTGCTTGGGCGGGTCCCCCAAGACTGCAGTGAAGGTGTTGGCTAGGGCAGGAGTCTCATCTAAAGGCTTGAAGAAGGGAGAATTTATTTCCAAGCTCGCATGGTTATTGACAGGATTCAGTTCAGTTCTACTGCTGATTTGGAAACGGTTCTTTCTCTTCTACCTTCCTTCCTGGCCTGTGAGTCAGTGCTGGGTTGAAGAGCAAAGGAATAATACCTCACATCCACTTGGAAGGCTATTAACAAAAACCAGAAAATAACAAGCACTGATGAGGATATAGAGAAAATGGAGACCTTATGCACAGCTGGTGGGAATGTAAAATGGTACAACGATGTGGAATTTCTTGGTGGTTCCTCAAAAAATTAAACATAAAATTACTACATGAATCAGCAATTCCACTTCTGGGTCTGTACCCCCAAAGAACTGAAAGCAGAAACTCAAAGAGATATTCATATATCTGTGTTCACAGATTCTTTATTCACAGTAGCTAACAGGGGGATGCAACTCACGTGACCATTCATAGATGACTAGATAAACAAAATGTGGTGTATCCAGACAACATAGTATTATTCAGTCTTAGAGGAAAGACATTCTAACATGGAGGAAAGACATGCTACAACATGGATGACCCATGAGAACGTTATGCTCAGTGAAATAAGCCAGAAACAAAAGAACAGATTCTCTATTATCCCACTCATAGGAAGTCCCTAGAGGAGTCCCATCCATGGAGACAAGAAGCAGATGGTCAGAGCCAGGGGTGGGTGAAAGCATGAGGAGTTTGTGTTTAATGGGAACAGAGCTTCAATTTGGGAAAATGAAAAAGTTCTAGAAAGGGATGGTGAGGGTGTGATTGTGCTTAACACCACTGAACTGTATGCCTAACCATGGTTAAAATGGTAAAATTTATGTTATGCGTATTTTATTCCAATAATGATAAAGAAAACAGTGAAGGTGCCTGATTAATTCCTAGTTCACTTTTTGAATTTGGCTAAATGCCCATGGAGTTTGGCCATTTCTTTTCCACACTAATCAAGAGTTATCAGTTCAGGAGTGTGTGGGTTTTTCTTATTGGTGTCCAGTGCAGAGGATTATCACATTGGAGCAGGTGGGCAAGTGGATGTTGCTGTTGACCAAACATTCTCTGTTTTTTAGCCATCAACACACAAAGGGTTGAGGACTGCCGGGTGAAGACACTCAGTTTGAAGGCAGAAAAGCAGACCATGGATATTCACTGCACCACCAATAAGGAAGAAATCTTGGGAGGTACTCTATATGGTGGCCCTAGAACTTAGACTATCAGTCCAAGAATTTTCCCAGTGGAATTCCATGTTGCTCCAATAAAACAGTTCATAGAAGCCTTTTATTGTTACTTGAGTACGTTCCATGAATGACACTGATAAAGCCAGAGTCTGGGAAATTCACTTTGGATTCTTACAGCCAGAAATAAGAAAAAGAAAAGAATCCTATTTTGTTTACCTTGGATGTGTTGGAGCAGGATTAGAGTTGAGATTTTTTAATGGCTTCCCATGTCTTTTCCTTGCTTAAATCACCTCCACCCTATGCAATGCTTTAGGCTGGTTTCCTTAAACAGCTGTCTTTCCCTTGCAAATGGACAATGAGTGGCTCCCTATTTCCTGGAGGAAACCAATCAGCCTTTTAGCTCTTTCTCTCTTTTTAAAATTTCTGAATATTTGTGTTTATTTTTATTCATTTATTTTTTTTTGCTTTAAGTTTTAAATTTTTAAAAAAATTTTTACTTGAGATATAATTGACATATAACATTAGTTTCCAGTGCATGACATACTGATTTCATATTTGTCTAGCTCATTTGAAAAACTGTGCAAAGTCTAAATTTAATCACCTTTAAGATTTTTCCTTTACTATTTTTCATATGACCTTTCCCTCCTGCAAACTTACCTGCTAATAGTCTTTTTCTCCCTCTTTCACTTCCTTGCTCTCCCCTTCATCTCTTGCCTTCTTCTCCCCTTCTCTCTTTCCTTCTTTCTTCCCCCTTTTCTATTTCCATCCTATTTTCTTTCCCTTCCCTTTTCTCCCTTTCTTCCTTCTCTAAATCCACCCATTCATCCACCCATTCATCCATGTATCCATACAATCTACCATCTTTCCTTTCACCCATCCATCCATTCATCCTTCTATCCATGCAAGCATGCATGCATGCGTCCATCCATCCGTCCATCCATCCATGCATTCTTCCATCCATCCATTCTTCCATCCATCTACTCACTCACTCTCCCATCTATTAAACTGCCTGCCTTCTTTCCCCTCTTCCTTGATTCCTTCCATCATTTAATTGATTTGCTTTGGAATTTTTGGGGAATATAATAATGACTTCACATTTTCCTAGCTCCAACCTAAAGTTGGTTATTAAATATCTGTAATCCTTTCCTTAACAGTAAAATGCCAAAGAAAATATTCCCTAGCAAGAGTGGTAGTCATGAAGAAATTTCTATTTAAAATTTAAAATATGTTAAAAATAAAATGATTATGACTTATGTGAATGACTCAGCACATTGTCCCACAGTAAAGGCTTAATAAATGAGAACTAAAATCATTTTTTCCAATGATCTGTGAAAGTTAACACAGATTACATTGCCCCCAAATGGCCATCCTTGAAACTAGGTGGGGTTTTCTTCTTTATCCCAGGTATTGTCGCATTTATATCTTATACTTCTATTGGTCCCATCATCGGTGAGAGTTTTGCGTCTAAGGAAAATCTAATGACAAAGGAAAAATTGCATAATTTCTACCTGAACTCCAAGGTAGTGAGTGGTACAGTGGGATCCAGAAAGAACATCTCACTCTCCGTGCCTGTTAATTTCACATTTCAGCATGAAAAGGTATGTGAGAACCAGGTGACTCTATTACATGTACAGGGATTTCATAATTAAATGGGAATGTTTCCATGCTGATGAATTCACAGGTTGGAAGTCTGTAAAAATGAAATCGAATCTCACTCATCTGGGAGACATGGTGTTGGAAAGTCCAAAATAAACCAAGGGTGTGATATGGCTTCCTGAGAAACTGGGGTATCCCTGAGCTGTATTGAGGAGATAACTTCAGAATCAGCCTCTCAACTCTCCCCCAAGACTCTGGATATGTCTGACTCGTCAAGCCGGTCCAAATAAAACTGGTCAGGGTTTAAGAAGTCACCAATCCAGACCAGCATGTGAGATGAGTGGTAGTCCTTAGGTGTTTTTGAAGTGCTTCCTAATGGCTGTAACAAGGCATCATACCAGGCACACTCCAATAGAAAAGTTTTCAAGGTTTTAGAACTTTGCCAAAATTAAAATTGATTTGTCTTCTTCAAAGGCGTTGTTTGCTTGTGTAAACAATTACTCCAGAACTTGGCAACTTAAAGTGATATGAATTTATTATCTCATTCTGTTTCTTTAGGTCAGGAATCTGGGTGTAGCTTTATTGGATGGCTCTAGCTCAAGGTTTCTCAAAAGTTTTCTGTCAAGATAGTGGCTGGGTGTTGTCACCAGCAGACTTCACTGAGGCTAAAGGGTTTGTTTTAAAGGTGGATTCGCCCTGTGGCCGGTGGCAAGAGGCTTCTGTTTTTGCCATGTGGGGCTCTCTGAGAGCTGCTTCACTGTTTTCATGGCGTGGTAGTTGGCTTCCATGAGTGCTCCAAGAGAGACTGCTCCCAAGGAAGTGGAGTTAGACTTGGCATTTTGAAGGGAGTGCCAAATAATTGATGGACATTTCTTAAACCAGTACACGGAGAGTTGCTGCTGAACAAACTGGGTTCAAGTCCTGGCTCCCTTCCCACTCACTAGTTAGGCAAATTACCCAGCCTTCTGTGCTGAGCACAGTCCAGATGCTGAGGTTCTGTTACTGGTAATAGTAATGTGCCTTCTTAATGTGTAGGATAAATGAGTCCACGTGTATAAAGCCCTTAAAATAGTGCCTGACATCAACAAATGGTGCTGGGAAAATTGGATATCTGTGTGCTAAAGAGCAAATGGACTCTTACACCATACATAACATGAACACAAGATGGATCAAAGACATAAATGCAAGACCTAGAACTATCAAACTTCTAGAAGAAAACATAGTTGAAAAGCTTCATTACTTAAATTTGGCAAGAGTTTCTCAGTTATGACACCAAAAGAACAAGCAACAAAAGTAGAAATAGATAAATGGGCGACACTAAACTAAAAACTTCTGTGCATCAAAGGACACAGTCAATGTAGTGAAAAGCTAACCCATGGAATGGGAGAAAATACCTGCTAAAGGTTTAGTACCCAGAACACATAAAGAACGTCTACAAGTCAACAACAGCAACAAAATACCTCTATTTAAAAGAGAGAGAGAGATAGAAAAAGGATCTGAACACATGTTTCTCAAAAGATGATATACAAATGTTCAAGAAGCATATGAAAAGATGCTGGAAGTCACTAACCATTAGGTAAATGTAAATCAAAACCGCAATGACATATCACTTCATATCCATTAGTATGGCTACTATAAAAACAAAACAAAACAAGATGAAGAGGGAGAGAAATTGGAATCACTGTGAAATGTTGGTAGGAATATTAAATGGTGCAGCCACTATGGAAGATAGTATGATTGTTCCTCAAACGCTTGAACCTAGTATTACTGTATGAAATAATATTGAATAGTATTTAGCTTTTAAAAAAAATGAGCATTGGGTGTTATATGCAAGTGATAAATCACTAAATTCTACACCTGAAATCAATTTTACCATATACATTAAATAATTAGAATTTAAATAAAAACTTGAAAAATAAAGAAATACAATTTTGATATATGTTACAACAGGGATGAACCTTGAGGACATTTTGTTAAGTGAAATATGCCAGACACAGAAAGAAAAATATTAAAATCCATTTTATATAAGGTCCCCAGAGTAGTCAGGTTCATAGAAACAGTCACAGAAAAAGTCAAAGAATGTTTGCCAGGAGCTGCAGGGAGAGAAATGAGCAATTATTTTTTTAATGGTCAGTGTTTCAGTTTTACAAAATGAAAAAAAAGTTGTGGACAGGACACCTCGGTGGCTCAGTTGATTAAGTGTCAGCCTTCTGCTCAGGTCATGATCTCAGGGTTCTGGGATCAAGTCCTACATTGGGCTCCTTGCTCAGTGGGGAGCCTGTTCTCCTTCTGCTTGTTCTCTCTCTCTCTCTCTCTCTCTCTCTCTTTCTGTGACAAATTTTAAAAAAGTTCTGGAGATGGGTTGCACAAAAATGTGAATTTATTTAACATTATGGTGCTGTCCACTCAAAAATGGTTAGGTTGGGAAATTTTTATATTATGCAATTTTTACCATAATAAAACCTTTATTAAAAAATCTGACACATAGGGGTGCCTGGGTGGCTCAGTCGGTTAAAGCCTCTGCCTACGGCTCAGGTCATGATCTCAGGGTCCTGGGATTGAGCCCTGCATCAGGCTGTCTGCTCAGTAGGGAGCCTGCTTCCTCCTCTCTCTCTCTGCCTGCCTCTCTACCTACTTGTGATCTGTTGTCAAATAAATAAGTAAAATCTTTTTTTTTTAAATCTGACACATAGTAAGAATTCCAAAGCATTAGATACCATTAATTTCTAGGCTCAGCCTTTGTTGATTTTTTTTTAAATGCAATTACATGGGAATTTCAGAACACAGGAAGTGGTGAGCACTCAGAATATTTTTTACTGCCTTTTATTTCCTGTCAAAGGAAATATTTAAAACCTCTAAATATCAAATAAGCAATATTCAGACACCATTTCCCCCTTTTCCCAGCTCTTGGCTGAACACAGGATTTTTTTTTTTTCCTTACAAACAGCCTTAGACCTGGATTAAGGAAAGAAACAGATTTTTGTCTCCTTCATATAATCAAACTTTGGGCATGATTAAATGGCCATGTGAAAGCATTCTGACCCATTTATACCTCCCACTGGGCCCATTATACTTAAGCTGTTCACTTGTAGCAGCTTCAATGAGCAAGTCCTTTTCTGTGTCAAATCACAAAACAGTGAACCAACACTTTTGTGCATGTACTGTATTTTGGGGTATGCCCCAACACATGCATCTGGGACAGTAACAGAACCTACACCATAAGCTGCTGTGGAGGTTAATCGAGTTATTCCATGCTGAGTCTAGAGATTGGTGCCTACATATGTAGATATCTGTCAGTGTTGTCTCTGTTGGTGACAAGGACAATTTCAAGGGAGAAAAGAACTACTAGTTAGGAACTCAACAGATACTTTCTCTTCTTCAGGAAATCACATTGCCTTGACATCAAAAATGATCTCCTTTTTCTTCCCTCTTCTCATTTACCTTACAAATGAGAGAGACAGTAGGTAGGATGGTTAAGACTTACAGCTCTGAAGTCCGAACTCCAGGACTGGAATCCCATCTCCTCAATTATCACCAGCTTCCAACTGTCAGTTTCCTCCTGTGTAAAAGGAGTATATGAATACCTACCTTTGTAGTAAATGAGATAATAGATACAAAATGCCTAGTATATTTTGGAATATGAACAACAATCAGTAAATGTTAGTTATTTTATGACTGGGCTAAGGCAATGTGGTTATTCTCCAGATGAAGAGAGAAAATGAGCTGTCCATCTGTGTCTACTGGCAAGGGTCGTCTTGGTCTAATGAAGGCTGTCAAGTTATTTCTTCAGATGAAAATCAAACCCTTTGCAGCTGCAATCACCTCTCCAGCTTTGCCATCCTCATGGCATCCACCAAATTAAAGGTAATCTCTCCTTTTGTAAATAAACTTACCTTTCATTGAAGTGGAACATTATCAAGTTCTAGTAAAAAGAAGATTGAATGCATTCTGACATTGAACGGAGAGCAGTTTTAAAGCAAGCCCTCTATTCATGAAAGGCTGTCAACATTTTCAGTGGAAATCACTAGAATGTTCACCTGGAAGTGTTAGCCATTAAGTGCTTCTCACAGTTTCCTGTTCCTTAGAACCATAGGTTGGGGTGTTTATTTATAATGCAGATTCTTGGCTCCATTTCCAAGAGATTTGGATTCTGAAAACCTGGTGTGGGGTCAGGGGCCTGCATTTTACAAGGGGATTCATTCCCTAGACAAATATTCCTCGAGCATCTAGGACCACTAAGTGTGTGGAAGATACCCGACGCTTCAGTGAATGGGGACATAGTAAGTAATGAACCTCAGAATAAGTGAATTGTATCGTATGTTACAAACTTCTCTCTCTGATATGGGGAAGTGACAACAGGGACAACTCTGTGCTCCCTCAACACAGAGGGAAAGAATGTCAAACGTCTCTTGAATAACTCTTTACCTTTACATTGATCATACATTGAACTAATATTTGGAACCTATTGGGTTAAAGAAAATATACTAGAGTTCCTGGGTGGCTCAGTTGGTTAAGCAACTGCCTTTGGCTCAGGTCATGATCCTGGAGCCCCAGGATTGAGTCCCAAGTTGGGCTCCCTGCTCGGCAGGGAGTCTGCTTCTCCCTCTGACCCTCGCCCCTCTCATGCTCTCTCAATCTCTCTCTCAAATAAATAAATAAAATCTCTTGGGAAAAAAAGAAAACATAGTAGTAAATTATTTTATGTCTCCTTTTACATTTTTAATGGGACTACCAGAATATGTAAAATTATTTCATAGGGTATATGTTTTTTGAAAAAACCCACTTTATTGAGATATCCTTGATATGTAAAAATTGTATATATTTAAGGTGAACAACGTGATGTTTTAGTATATGTGTATGCATTATGACAAGATCTTCATGGTCGAGATACATAACTTACCCATCACCGCTATATAGGTGTCCTGTCGTGTGTGTCTGCGATGAGAAGGTTTAAGACCTACCTTCTTAGCAAATTTCAAGTATACAATATAGCATTGTTCATTGTTGATACCATGCTGCACATTAGATCCCCAGAACTCAGTGAGCTTTCATAACTGAAGCTTGATGCTGCTTGGCCACATCTCCTCATTTTCCCCTCCTCCCAGCCTCTGGCAACCAACATTCTACTCTCTGCTTCTGTGAATTAGACTATTTTGGAGTCTGCATATATGTATGATCATACAATATTGGTTTTCCTGTGTCCGGTTTGCTTCATTTGGCCTGATGCTGTCAGGATTCATCCATGTTGTCGCAAATAGCAGGATTACTTTCTTTATTAATGCTGAGTAATACTCCACTATAGTAATGTAATGCGTACACCTCAGTGTCTTTACTCATCCATCCATCAATGGTTATTAGGTTGATTCCATATCTTGGCTATTGTGAATGATGCAACTGTGATATTTTTATGGGCCATGCCAGTTTGGTGGTTTCAGTTTTCCAACAGTACTGTGTAGAAAATACTCTTAAGGCCTCTATTAACTTGCCAGGACTGTGATGACCAAGTTTCATGGTCTGGGTGGCTTAAACAACAGAAACTTATTTTATCGCAGATCTAGAATCTGGAAGTCCAAGTTCAAGGTGCTGGTAGGATTTTTTTTTCCTGAGGCATCTCTCCTTGGCTTCCTACTCCCTGTGTCTTCACATGGTCCTCCCTCTCTACCTGTCTGTTTCCAAATTTCTTATAAGGGCACCAGTCTTACTGGATCAGGGCCCACCCTAATGACATCATGTAACTCAGTTAACCCTGTCTCCAAATACAGTCAGATTCTGAGGTCCTTGGGATTAGTACTTTTACATATTAATTTGTGGGTGAGGAACACAATTCAGCCTGTAATACTGCCTCCATTTTAAATATGGGGACACCAGATCTCAGAGAGCTAAAGTCATTTGTTTGGGGGACAGACCTGGGACACCCATCAGGCACATAACAACATAACTGGAAACTCTAATGGATTTCTTCTTTTGCGGCTCATAGGTGGATCCTGTGCTGACCATGATCACATACGTGGGGCTGAGTCTCTCTCTGCTGTGCCTCTTCCTGGCAGCCCTCACCTTCCTCCTGTGCCGACCCATCCAGAACATCAGCACCTCCCTCCACCTGCAGCTCTCCATCTGCCTCTTCCTGGCCCACCTGCTCTTCCTCACAGCCATTGACCGGACAGAGCCCAAGGTAGGAGAATTAGCTGAGACTCACTTTTCTGTGAACATTTCCAGCGGCTTTGCCGCTATGCACTTGAAGCCCAAGGAAGGGGTAGCTAGATGTAGGAAAAGGGAAGGAAGGTCCAAAAATTTGGATGGACAGTTCAACCCCCATTGCCAATGGCTGCTCATTTTAGTGCTATCAATAGTGGGTCTCTGGGAATGAATATTAGAAGGGAGTTCCCTGGCTATGAAATCGTAAAAGTCGGGGTCCTTGGGTGGTTCAGTCAGTTGGGCGTCCAACTCTTGGTTTTGGCTCAGGGCGTGACCTCAGGGTCATGAAATTGAGCCCCGCATCACTCACACTCCGTGAGGGGTCTGCTTCCCCTCTTCTACTTCCTCTGTCCCTCTCCCCTCTCTCTCAAATAAATGAATAAATCTCTAAAAAAAAGAAATGGTGAAAATTACATATCTAATCAAAATTAATTTATTTTAGGGGTGCTTGGGTGGCTCAGTGGGTTAAAGCTTCTGCCTTTGGCTCAGTTCATGATCCCAGGGTCGAGGAATCTAGTCCTGCATCAGGCTCTCTGCTTAGCGGGAAGCCTGCTTCCTCCTCTCTCTCTTTCTCTCTCTCTCTGCCTGCCTCTCCACCTACTTGAGATCTCTGTCTGTCAATAAATAAATAAAATCTTTTAAAAAATTAATTTATTTTAAGTTGGCAAACCTAAAGTGTGAGTAGAGGAAGTAACCTGCCTAATATTATATAATGGGTTTTATGAGGTTTTAGTTAAGAACCTGACTGTCCTTCACTTAATTCAGGGCACACAGCTCTAGATCTGCACTTTGTAATAGAACCTCCTGTTAGGATAAAAATATTCTATATGTGAACTCTTCAATATGGGAGTGACTGGCCACATGTGGCTATTAAGCACTTGACTTTGGCTAGTGTAACTGAGGAACTGACTCTTCAATTCTGTTTTAATTTTTTTTAAGATTTTATTTATTTATTTGACAGAGAGAGACACAGCAAGAGAGCGAACACAAGCAGGGGGAGTGGGAGAGGGAGAAGCAGGCTTCCCGCCAAGCAGAGAGCCTGACACAGGGCTCAATCCCAGGACTCTGGGATCATTACCTGAGCCAAAGGCAGACACTTAATGACTGAGCCACCCCGGCACCCCTTAAATTCTGTTTAATTTTAATGAATTTAAATGTAAATAGTCCCATGAGTGTCTCCTAGCCATAAGGTAGACTGTGCAGATCTGTAGATATCAACTTTATTCAGCAAAGAAGGACACTGAAGTGTTTATTTTGTGAATATTTGTTAAAATATAGTTCCTCTAAAGCCATTGGGTCACCTTTCAGCACTTTTGCTAAATGAAAACGTTGAACATAGGATACTCAGCTCTCTTGGATAGTATTTTATGCATGAGTGAGATGAATCTAAGCCAAAGGTCAAAAAAATTATTTCCCAGACCTAACTGCCAGCAGCTCCTTTCTGTTGAGTCTGCTTGTGGTTTTTAATTAAAAAAGAGTTGCAAAAAAAAAAAAAAAAAAAAAAAGAGTTGCCAGTATCTGGGTACTTACCTCAAAGAAGGAGCATTGGGTCTTATATGCAAACAATGACTCATGGAACACTAAATCAAAAACTAATGAGGTACTATACGGTGACTAATGTAACACAATACAAAAAAATTTTTTAAATTAAAAATGTTTTAAAAACTTTTATATCAACATGGACAGGACGGGAGGAGATTATGCTGAGTGAAATAAGTCAAGTAGAGAAAGTCAATTATCATACGGTTTCACTTACTTGTGGAGCATAAGGAATAACATGGAGGACATTAGGAGAAGGAAAGGAAAGGTGAATTGGGGGAAATCAGAGGGGGAGATGAACCATGAGAGCCTGTGGACTCTGAGAAACAAACTGAGGGTTTTGGAGGGGTGGGGGGTTGGGCCTGGTGGTGGGTATTAAGGAGGGCACATATTGCATGGAGCACTGGGTGTGGTGCATAAACAATGAATCTTGGAATACCGAAAAAATAAAATAAATTTTAAAAAATTTTTTAAAGATAATTAAAGAAAAAGAATTTGAAAATAAGTTCTGAAAGAGACATTTGCACAACCATGTTCACAGTACCATTGTTCACAATAACCAAAGGTAAAAACAACCCGTGTGTCTTGACAGACGGCAGGTACAAGAAGTGCTATATATACATAGGATGGAATATTATTCAGCCTTAAAAAGGAAGGACATACTGACACTTGCTACAACCTGTATGGACCTTGGGGACATTGTGCTTAATGAAATAAACCAGTCACAAAAGGACACATCCTGTCTGATTCCACTCATAGAGGGTCCCTAAAAGACTTACACATATTCACAGAGACAGAGAGTCGATGGTGGGAACCTGAGGTGGGGGAGGGTCGGAAGGTCAGTGTTTCAAGGGGACAGATTTCAGTTTTGCAAAATGAAGAGTTCTGGAGATGGATGGTGGGGACGGCTGCACAACAGGGTGAATGTACTTAACACTCACAGGCATTGACTAGACCACGAACCATGCACTTATAAATAGTAAGATGGTAACTTTTGTGTTGTGTACTGTGTATTTCCCCACAGTTTTTTTCTTTTTAACTGTCTGCATTTAAAAACTGAGAAATTTTGCTCAACAATTCAGATTTCCAGGTGTGTGTGTGCATATGTTTTAAAGAAAGGAAACACTAGCAATATTAGGCTCACATTCTTTTTTTATTATTATTATGTTAGTTAGTCACCATGCAGTACATCTTTGGTTTTTGATGTTGTATTCCAAGTTCATTGTTTACATATAACACCCGGTGCTCTGTGCAATACGTGCCCTATTACTCAGCCATCAGACATGATGAATACCCAACTTTTGCATCAACCTGGGCTCACATTCTTGAATGGAAACCATTGCTGGAGCTGAAAGCAACTGCTGCTTTTCGGAAGGGTCATGTGGCACAGTTCCAACCCCTACCTCTTCCCTAACATTTGCCTGCTTGACAGATACATGCTCCCTACCTGGCCCTCCACAGTTTTTGAGTTTGCCACCACGAGTCAACCCAGAGAAGTACAGGAACTCAACCCAAGCATCTTGCTCTGCACGACTGTGTTCCAGTGACCTTGTATCCCCTTTGCTCCAAGGAATGGTGAACTTTGTTCTCTGTGCACCCGTAAGGTTCTCCTAACTTTTGTCTCCCCTCCAGGTGCTGTGCTCCATCATCGCTGGAGTGCTGCACTACCTCTACCTGGCCTCCTTCACCTGGATGCTCCTTGAAGGGCTGCAGCTTTTCCTAACTGTCAAGAACCTCAAAGTGGCCAACTACATCAGTGCAGGGAAGTTCAAGAGGAGGTTCATATATCCTTTTGGCTACGGGATCCCAGCTGTGATTGTAGCTGTGTCTGCAGGGCTTGGACACACCAGTTATGGAACAGAAACTCAGTAAGCACAGTGTCTTTGTTATGAGGAAGTAACAATACAAATATGAACTCCAATGTATAAAACATCTACTACCTTTGCTATTGAAGGCTCTGTGGGCCCCCCAGGAAACAAAGCAGACAATAAGCAAATAGACATGCAATATGATGTTAGGCTGTGATAGCTACCACCACAGAAAGCAAAGTAGAGAAATTGGGATATATGTGAGGTGATATTTGAAATAATGTGATCAGAGGGACCCCTAAGAGGTAAACTTCCTATGACATATGTTATTTGATTTTTGAAAAGTCTTATTGTGTTTATTTCCCAGTGCTGTTCGAACAAATTAGCTCAAACTTGGTGGCTTAAAACCACGCAATCTTGTTATCTTAGAGTTCTGTAGGTCAGAAGTCCATCATGGGTCTCACTGAGCTAAAAACAAGGTATCAGCATGTACATTTCATCTTGGGCCTGGAGGGGCTTTTCCAGCCTTCAGGGGCCACCCATATTCCTCAGCTCATGTCCCCCTTCCTCTGTGTTCAGAGCTGGCAACATTGCGCCTCTCTGACCTTCGGATCTCCTTCTGACTCTCTTCTGTCTCTCCTTTCCACTTCTAAGAACACATGTGATTCCATGGGATCCACTCAAGTAATCCAGGGTAATCTATCTCCCCATTCCAAGATACTTACACTCAATTATATCTGCAAAGTCCCTTTTGCTTTGTAAAGTAGCAATTCACAAATTCTGGGCATTAGGACTTGGACACCTTCGGAGTAGAGAGAAGTTCAAGTTATTCTATCACACCTATAAATTTATTTTCTTTCATAATTTGTTCTAACTTGCAAAATTATTTTTAGGAACAAGTGGACAATCATGGGTTTAGGGTGGACATAATTTTGGACATAATTTTGGAAAAGAAATAACATACAAAAAAGTGTCCTTTGAACTAAGCAGTAAACAACATATTTTTGAAATACAACTTGAGGGGGCACCTGGGTGGCTCAGTGGGTTAAAGCCTCTGCCCTCAGCTCGGGTCAGGATCCCAGGGTCCTGGGATCGAGCCCCTCTTTGGACTCCCTGCTCAGCAAGAAGCCTACTTCTCCCTCTCCTGCTCGCCCTGTGTTCCTTCTCTCTGTGTGTCTCTCTCTCTGTCAAATAAATAAATAAAATCTTTAAAAAAAAAAAAAAAGAAAGAAATACAACTTGAGGAAAGGGACCATCCTTTATGGATGAAAATCAGAGTTGAAACTAAATATTTTTGTTACTAAAAGCCAAATCTGTGTTTATCCTGTTATTGGTCTATTCCAGTGATTCTCAGGTAGGGGTGATTTTGTCCCCCACAAGGGACTTTCAGCAGTGTCTGGAGACCTTTTTTGTTGTCACAGCTTGAGGGAGACAGGTGGCCAGATATGCTACTGAATGTTTTGTGGTGCACAGGTCAACCCCACTGTGAAGAACCATGGGCCCCAAATGTCGGTAGTGCCAAGACAGAGGAAATCTGGTCTATTCAAAGCCACCGCTCTGAGTTTGTATTTGAATTCTGATAGTGGAAGGATGGGGCAGCATTCACTGGGTCCTTGATGCTTAACTGAATGAATGGTCTGGACCACTATACCCAGAATATAAGTTTTCCAAGAATGTTAATCATTGTTTTTCTCCATGTTATGGTTGTCATTGTTATATTATTATTTCACCGTGACCCAGTTCCTGTGCCCATTTTTCTCCCTATGTTTCAGTTTAGGGAAAGATTTTTTTTAAGATCTTATTTATTTATTGGACACTGAGAGAGAGAGAGAACAAGCAGGGGGAGCTGCAGGCAGAGGGAGAGGGAGAAGCAGACTCCCCGCTGAGCAGAGAGCCCAATGGGGGACTAGAGCCCAAGACCCTGAGATCATGACCTGAGCCAAAGGCAGCTGCCTAACTGACTGAGCCACCCAGGTGCCCGAGAAAGATTTTTTTTTTTAATGCACATGATGTAATGTGCTAATGATGTACTATAGGGTGTATAATGTAATATATATGCATATATATAATATGTATTTTATATATATATAATATAGAGTGTATAATATAATAAGCTAATGTTGTACTATAGGGTGACTAATGTAACATAATGAAATAAATTTATTTGCTTAAAATGTTTATTTTTATTATTATTCTTATTACATTATGTTAGTCACCATACAGTAGTACATCACTAGTTTTTGATGTACTGTTCCAAGATTTATTGTTTACGTATAACATCCCAGTGCTCTATGCAATACATGCCCTCCTTCATAATTTTTTTAACTTAAAAACTTTAAAAGTTAAAAAAAATAAAAATAAATAAGTGCATTTGTTTCTTTTTATGAAGATCTGGAAAGTTGTTTGTTCTGTTTTTCAGCTGCTGGCTCAGCTTCCATGGAAGATTTATTTGGAGCTTCATGGGACCGGTTTTTGTTATTATTTTGGTAGGTGTATAATTTTTGTTGTCACTTTGGATATAGAAAATACCGTGTTTAGTGACATGACAAAGGGAATCATTGGATAGAGACCTATTTAAATTTTCTTTAGAGTCTTTAGACTTAGAACAGTACATACTAAGAGATTATATATGGACCCTTCTCTTTGTGGAAAGAGTCACATCTGAGCTGAGATGAAGACATCACATGTTACCCCAGCGGAATCACTGATGATTTGGCTTTCTAAAAAAATATGTGGTCACGGACAATCAGCTTTTTAAAAATTATAATAAAATCATTTAACATGAGCTGTATCCTCTTAGTAAAATTTTAGGGGTTCAATGCAGTATTGTCAACGATGGACATGATGGCATCATACAGCAGAGCTCTAGAGTGTAATCAGCTTGCATGACTGGAACATTATACCTCCTGAATCATAATTCCTTATATCCCTTTTCCAGCCCCAGACCCCAACACCACCATCCTACTCTCTGCTTCTATGAGTTTGACTATTTGGACACCTCGTGTAAGTGAAGTCATGCCATATTAGTCCTTCTGTGACTGGCTTATTTCACCTACCATCATGTCCTAAAGGTTCATCCATGTGTCCACATAGTGTAAGGTCTCCTTCTTTTTTAGGGCCGAGCAATATTCCACTGTGTCTGTCCATATATTTACACAATGAGCTATCGCTATCAAATCTACTCTATCCATTCTCTTAATGGACACTTAGGTTGTTTACGGATCTTGGCTTTTGTGAATAATGCCGCGTGGAGTATGGGAGTATGGATGTCTCCTCCAGATTTGGACTTCAATTCCTTTTTTATTATCTAAATTCAATTAGCCAACATATAGTCCATTATTAGTTTCAGATGTAGTGTTCAAAGATTCATCATTGCATATAACACCCAGTGCTCATCCCAACACAAACTCAATTCTTTAGGATAGATATGCAGAAGTGGGATTGCTGGATCACAAGTCAGTTAATATTTTAAATATTTTGAAGAAGCTCCATACTGTTGTCTACAACAGCTGTACCAACTTACATTCCCACCAACAGGTGTGCAAGTGTCCCAATTTCCTCACATGTTCACCAACACTAGTTATCTTTTTCATTACAAATAACTTAAAATTCACAAGAACTTGCAAAAATAGTTCAAAGAGTTCTAAGTAGCCTTCACTCAGCTTTACTCAAAGATAATATTTTACATAATCATGGTAAAATACCAAAACCAGGAAAATGACATTCGTATAGTCACATCAACTAGACTATAGGCCTCAATCAGATTTCCTTTCTGAATTAATAGAATGTGTTTTGCAAACACAATTTGACCATCAGTCTTGGGTGTTTTTTAATGGCTGTGTAAAATATTTAGTGATCCTAAAATTTTGTTATGAAAAGGGCATGCCAATAGGGGGAGGGGGGAGCAAACATTGGAAAAGGTAAGCACCAAAATGGAAATAGTGCTTATCTCTGAATATGAGTTTCTTTGCCAGAATTTCAGATAAGTTCTGTCTGTTTTTCTGCATTTTCCTAATTTTGGATAATGAACATATATCGCTTTTCTGATCATAAAAAAACGGAGGCTAATTTTTTAAAAAATCAAGGCATATGCAACTAATGGACTGTTGAACACAACATCAAAAACTAATGATGTACTGTATGTTGGCTAACAGCATAATTATAGAAAATAATCGAGGCATATATCCAGAGAGTTTCAGAAATCCTAAACATATTTTACAAGTTTCAAGAATGAATTCCTTTTTTAAATTTCATTTTTTTCAGTGTTCCAATGTCATTTCCTATTTAATTGTAAATATTAGATATTAGCCTACTTTAAACTCTGTCCTTCATGTCATTTCCACAGATCAATTTTTCCTTCTATCTGACCACCCTATGCATTTTAAAAAACCAGCTTAGCTCCCTCAATAATGAATTACCCAGGATGCACAACACAAGGTAGGTGGGCACAGAGCCAGAAAATGCAAAAGAGGTTTGTTTTTTTTTTTCCCCCTCCAGAATATTTCACTGTGTAAAGTGGGGGCAGTGATTCTAAAATGAGGGGTAATTTTCTGGAGACATTTTTGGTTGTCGCAAGATGGGATGGAGGGTGAAGAGGGGAAGGCTGCTACTGGCATCTAGATGTTAGCGACCTGGGATGCCGTTAAGCGTCCTATGACACACGGGACAGCCCCCCACATACACATATATACACACAAAGGTGATCTACCCAAATGTCAGTAGTGGTGAAGTTAAGAAACCCTGAATAATGTCTTTGCAGTTTCCCTTATTTTTATAATTTTGGGGAAAGTATATGGTCCAGGTAAGAAGCAGAGTTTATCCAGCACATGAATCTCTAATAGGGTTGTATTTCTACAAGAACTCGTTTTCAGTACTTAATGTTGTGAATTATAGGTTGTAATTAATATTATTGTATTAACTTGTTTTATGCACGGTGTTATTTAGGTACATAGTAAGAACACTAGATCAGGAGGTAGCTGCCATTGAAAAGATAATTTGTTATACTCACAGACCCTGAGAGGAAAGGCATGCTGTGCCACGAGAGGGGGATTTTCTGGGGAAACACCGGAGTTGACTAGCAGGCAGGGGACAGGGGAAATTGTAGGCAAGTGCCTTTATTGTGGTGTCTGTGGGAAAGAGGTATAGCAGGGTAAACAGGCTTAGGATCGACTAGTTTGAAAAATTCCAGTAAGAGACTCTTTTTTTCATTTATTTTATTTAAATTCAATTAGTTAACATATAGTGTAACATTAGTTTCCAATGTAGAGTTGTTATTCATCCATTGCATGACTTAATGTTTACTAAGTATCCATTATATCAAGTGCCCTCCTTAATGCCCATCACCCAGTTACCCCATCCCCCCCCACCTCCCCTCCAGCAACCCTCAGTTTGTTTCCTAGAGTTAAGAGTCTCTTATGGTTTGTCTCCCTCTCTGATTTCATCTTATTCTATTTTTCCCATCCTTCCCCTATGATCCTCTGTTTTGTTTCTTAAATTCCACATATGAGTGAAACCATATGATAATTGTCTTTCTCTGATTGACTTATTTCACTCAGCATAATTCCCTCCAGTTCCATCCACATCCATGTAAATGGTAAGATTTCATCTTTTTTTGATGGCTGGGTAATATTCCATTGTGTGTGTATGTGTATATATATATACCATCTCTTCTTTATCCATTCATCTGTCAATGGACATCTTGGCTCTTTACATAGTTGAGTTATTATGGACATTGCTACTATAAACATTGGGGTGCGGGTGCCCCTTCAGATCATGGTTTTTTTTTTCTTTTGGGTAAATACCTAGTATTGCAATTGCTGGGTAGTAGGGTAGCTCTATTTTTAACTTCTTGAGGAACCTCCGTACTGTTTCCCATAGTGGCTGTACCAGCTTGCATTCCCACCAACAGTGTAAGAGGGTTCCCCTTCTCCACATCTTCACCAACATTGTTGTTTCCTGTTTTGTTAATTTTAGCCATTCTGACTGGTATGAGGTGGTATCTCATCTTGGTTTTGACTTGTATTATCCTGATGCCAAGTAATGTGGAGTAATTTTTCATGTGTCTGTTGACCATTTGTATGTCTTCTTTGGAGAAGTATCTATTCATGTCTTCTGCCCATTTCTTTTCCAGATTCTTTGGTTTTGGGGTGTTGAGATTGATAAGTACTTTATAAATCTTAGATACTAACCCTTTATCTGGTAAAACATTTGCAAATATCTTTTCCCATTCTGTAGGCTGTTTTTGGTTTTGTTGACTATTTCCTTTACTGTGCAAAAGCTTTTATCTTGATGTAGTCCCAATAGTTCATTTTTGCTTTTGTTTCCCTTGCCTTTGGAGACATGTCTAGCAAGAACTTGCTGTGGCCAAGATCGAAAAGGTTGCTGCCTATGTTCTCCTCTAAGATTTTGATGGATTCCTGTCTCAAATTTAGGTCTTCCATCTATTTTGAGTCTATTTTTGTGTGTGGTGTAAGGAAATGGTCCAGTTTCATTCTTCCTCACATGGCTGTCCAATTTTCCCAACACCATTTGTTGAAGAGACTGTCTTTTTACCATTGGATGTTCTTTCCTGCTTTGTCAAAGATCAGTTGACCATAGAGTTGAGGGTCCATTTCTGGGTTCTCTATTTTCTTCCATTGATCTATGTGTCTGTTTTTGTGCCAGTACTATACTGTCTTGATGATGACAGATTTGTAGTAAGAGCTTGAAGTCTGGAATTGTGATCCCACCATCTTTGGTTTTCTTTTTCAACATTCCTCTGGCTATTTGGGTTTTTTTCTTGTTCCCTATAAATTTGAGAGACTCTTAACTATAGGAAAACACACTGAGGATTGTGGAAGGGAGGTGGTTGTGGGGATAGGGTAACTAACTGGGTGATGGGCATTAAGGAGGGCACTTGATGTAATAAGCACTGGGTGTTGTATGCAACTGATGAATCACTGAACTCTACCTCTGAAACTAATAATACACTATATGTTAATTAAATTTAAATACAATTTTTTAAAAAGAAAAGAAAAATTCCAGTGTGTTTCTGGGCATAGGGACTGTCCCCAGTTGTCTGGTACCTGGCCCTGGGATGATTAAGGCAGATGAATAGTGGCCTGGAATGTGAGAGGTGGTTGAGGGTGTGAGCTTTGGGTTGGTTGGTTTGCATTCGAAAGGTACGCTCTAAGAATTGGCTAACCCCAGGAGGGGCAGGCCGGGGTGGGGGCGGCAGTCAGCAAGGTTCCAGTTGTCACAGCAACAGACTACAGAAAATAAAAAACATAGTTAATACACTTATAGTATATAATTCTAATAAATGCCATTATGTTAATATTATGAATACTGGAACATATGCTATTTCATTATACCAAACAAAAATGTATACTTTTTGTATATTTGTAATGTATTACTTTCTATCAATAATTACATGGGATATTTAACACTTCACAATATATTATACTAGCATTACATACCAGTCAGTCTCTATAACACTCCTGCCAGGGGTAATTATGTTGAACAGGCTGACATTCTAAGTCCTGAAGCCCTGAAGCAAGAGAAAAACCATCCCAGTATGTGAGAGAAACCATTGCCATGAGCCATGGAGCCGAGATGAATAACATCATGCTGTGTCTTGGTTTTGGCAGGATGCTGGCATTCAAAGCCATTGCTCAGCTTTTCATTTTGGGCTGTTCTTGGGGCCTTGGCTTCTTTCTGGTGGAAGGAGTACTGACCCCCATCAGGTCGGTAGTGGCCTATTCCTTCACCATCATCAATGTTCTACAGGGCGTCTACATCTACCTGGTCTACTGCCTTCTCAATCACAAGGTAAACCAGTCTGTCCTCCACGTATTCCACTGCCTCTGGGTTTCTCACGTTCTGCTGCTACTTTCTGTCTCTTGGGCTTCTCCATTGCTTGGGTACTGGTTGTGTATGTGTGTTTGGGGGATGGAGGGGTGAGGGAGGTGGGGCTCTTTCTTCCACATCTCAACTTTTGTCCCAGGGACCACCTTTCCAGGATTTGTCTTTCTTGCTTCCAGTCATTTGAACCTGCACTGAAGTAGTAGAAACTGGGTAGAGCCATACAAGGCCCACAATGAGACGTTGAGAATCTGACAATGAGAAAAAAAAAATGGGGAAAACACAGTAAATGCTGAGAAATCGTTGTATAGGACTTTACAAAAAATCCCTATGCTATGAAAACAATTCTGGCTTATTACATTTAAATACTGAGTTTGTAATTGTAAACGTGGGCTAATTCTTAGAATGACAAAAGAATCAAATGTTGACTTTGAAGGGGCATTATTTTATGCATTATGGTGTGGGAGCTATGATAGAATGATTTTTATGTGATGCTCAACTTTTGTAAACTGCAATTTCACACAAATAGTTTGGAATTTGTTAATTTTACAAGGATCTCTGAATCTTTTGATAGCTTAATCATTTTCTTGGGTGTGTCTATCTTGTCGTGATTCTTTTTAGTTTCACTTTTTTAAATTATCTGGTCTAATTTGCAAGATTTTTGTCTATTGTAAGGGTTGGCAAACTTTTCTTAAAGTATGAGGAAATATTTTTGGCTTTGCAGGCTCTAAGATTTCTGCTTGTAGCTATTCACCTGTGCTCTAATACCATGAAAGTGCCCATAGACAGTATGTCAATGAATGGGCAAGGCAAAACTTAATTTACACAAATAAGTAATGGACTACATTGGGCCTGGGGGCGTACGTTGCTGACCCCTGGTCTATTGTGTTTTGAAAATTCTCCAACATCACAGTCACTGATTTCATGAGCTTACAGATTTTTAAATTTTTTTATTATGTTATGTTAGTCACCATAAAGTACATCATTAGTTTTTGATGCAGTGTTCCAAGATTCATTGTTTGCATACAACACCCAGTGCTCCATGCAATACTTGCCCTCCTTAATAACTATCTCTGGGCTAACCCATCCTCCCCACCCCCATCCCCTCTAAACCCCTCAGTCCATAGTCTCTCATGGTTTCTCTTCCCCTCCGATTCCCCCTACTTCACTTTTCCCTTCCTTCTCCTCCGTGCTATTCCTTATGTTCCACAAATAAGTGAAACCGTATGATAATTGTCTTTCTCTGCTTGACTTATTTCATTTTTACAAGATTTTATTTCACTTTGCAATTATTTTCATTGGGACTTACTAATTGGATGTTTTACTGGCTGGTAGAATTAGGGGTGTGAAAAAATACAGTAAGTACCACATGTAATGCTATTAAACATGTGATGGGTATTAAGGTCACATGTTGTGATGAGCACTGGGTGTTACACGCAACTGATGAATCATTGAACACTACATCAAGAACTAATGATGTCCTATATGTTGGCTAACTGAACATAGTAAAAAAATAAAAATAAAGGTCACTTTCAGCAAAAAAAAAAAAAAATAAATATATATATATATATATATATATATATATATATATATATCTTTAAGTCATCTCTACACCCAGTGTGGGGCTCAAATTTATAACCCTGAGACCAAGAGTCATATGTTCCACATATGGTTCCTGAGCCAGCCAGGTGCCCCACATGTAATGCAATTAATGTTCAATCATTAAATTTATATGGTAGCTAGTTAACAAAATGAAGTAAATTTTTCTCAATCATTTCATTGCAACTTAAATTTAAAATACAATAAAAAATTTAATACAACTGAACCCTTTAGAAACAAAGAAAAATAAGACAGCAGCAAAAGTACACAAATACAGGGGTGCCTGGGTGGCTCAGTGGGTTAAAGCCTCTGCCTTCGGCTCAGGTCATGATCCCAGGGTCCTGGGATTGAACCCCACGTCGGGCTCTCTGCTCAGCGGGGAGCCTGCTCCCCCCCCCACACACCTATCTCTCTGCCTACTTGTGATCTCTGTCTGTCAAATCAATAAATAAATAATCTTTAAAATAAAATAAAATACCATAAAAATACTTAAAACTTTCATGCCTTATCAAACTACAATTGTATCTTTTTCCTCTGTATGATCCTTATACGTGTTTCACAAAGTCACTCCAGGGACAAAACTGACCCCTAGTGACATGCCAGATGAGGGTCAAAGCTAACATTCAGCAATTAGGGACATCTGACTGGGAACCAAACTTGAGTGCTCTGCTTGTTAGGGAGTACTGTGGGGGACTTCTGTCACAAGTGCCCTCATCGTAAGGAGACCCCTCATATTTCTCTTCATTGCTTGCATTGCATGCTCATGAGGTCTCATTCTGAATAACAGCCATTTAGTACACTCTCCAATGAAGACATACAAATGGCTATCAGACACATGAAAAAATGTTCACCATCACTAGCCATCAGGGAGATTCAAATTAAAACCACACTGAGATATCACCTTACACCACTTAGAATGGCCAAAATTAGCAAGACAGGAAACAACATGTGTTGGAGGGGATGTGGAGAAAGGGGAACCCATCTTACGCTTTTGGTCGGAATGCAAGTTGGTGCAGCCTCTTTGGAGAATAGTGTGGAGATTCCTCAAGAAATTAAAAATAGAGCTTCCCTATGACCCTGCAATTGCACTACATTCCTTTTTTTAATTTAAATTCAATTAGCCAACATTAGATACATTCCTTTAATGCAACGTTTTAAATTATTTTCATGTTATAAACCTTAGTCTCAAGTTTTCTTACCTGAAGACTAATCATAATTTTGATTTTTTAAAAAGATTTTATTCATTTCTTTGACACAGAGAGAGCAAGATCACAAACAGGCAGAGACAGGCAGAGAGAGGGGGGGAAGAAGGCTCCCGCTGATCAGGGAGCCTGATGCAGGGCTCAGTTGCGGGACCCTGAGATCATGACCTGGGCTGAAGACAGAGGCTTAACCATCTGAGCCACCCAGGCACCCCATAAATATGATTTTTGATACATAAATGATATACATATATGATCTATAAATAGGATTCAAAATAAGTTAAAATATCATGAAATTTCCAACATTACAATAAAGATATAAAATCATAGCTAACATCACTAATATCCATCTATTATCACTTATTCAATTGACACATGCGTGCCTATTTGGAATGGTGCATGTAGTAAACATCATCAAAAGAGATAGGAACTGCAATGAACATTGGTGTACAAGTATCCATCTAAATCCCTATGTTTAAGTCTTTCAGATGTAGCTAGGGGTGGAATTTCTGGGTCCTGTGGTATTTCTGTCTGCATGTTAAAGGAACCACAGTGGTTTTCCACAATGGAGCACCATTTTCCATTCCCATCAGCAATGTACAGAGGTTCCAAATTCTCCACATCCTCACCAACAGTAGTTATCATTTAAAAAGTCATATGGCCATCCTAGTAGATATGAAGTGGTATCCCATACAATGGACTACTATCCAGCCATAAAAAGGAATGAAGTTTTGATACATTCTACAGCAAGGATAAATCTTGAAAGCATGATGCTAAATAAAATGAACCAAAGATCATGGGCAAATTTTGTGTGATTCCACTTACATGAAATATCTCCAATAGGTAAATTAGTAGGGACAGAATATAGATTAGACGTTACTAGTGGCTCGGGAGTGGAGATGGGAAGGTGCTGCTTGATGGCTATCAGGGTGATAAGAAAGTTTCCAAAATGGATGGCAGTGATGGTTGCACAATGTCATGAATATAATTAACACCACTGAACTGTATACCCAAAAAATGGTTACAGTGGAAAATTTACGTTATAAATGCTCCATCATAATGAAAATTGTAAAAAAAAAAAATGTGCTAATGATATAAATGCAATTCACAAAACATTAATGGGAGGGTCGCTATGGCCAATGAGTGAGGTTGCAAATCACTTGAAAAAGTGGCAGGCGAAGGGAGGAAGGAATTCACGCCTTCCAGACCCTATTTTATGGCATTCATCCCGTGTTCATACTCTCTGAAATGAGGTCCATTTCTGTGTGCTTGCATGTTAGGTACGAGAAGAATACAGACACTGGTTCAAGAAGATGAGGAAAAGGACAGAAACTGGCAACTATGACTTGTTTGGCTCAGTCACCCAGACCAAAACGGTAAGATTTCCTCTTCTCTCATTTCATGCTTTTACCCATGTCTGACCCTTCTTGATTTCATCCATTTGAGATACCTGATCCTTGCTTTTCAAAGAGGGAGCAGTCTTCAAAAATGAGTATCTTCAGCCAAGGGTGGAATCTTTCTGGATTTATTTGTACAAAACTCTACTGGCATATTTCACATTAATTTGAGCTTCTTTAGAAGCAAGAACATGGAATTCTCTTTTGTCCCAAGGACCTAGAGCTGGTTCACAGAAGCAGACACTCTGGGGCTATAAGCAACAGAAACATGAAGGGAAACATGAAGTTTCTTATTTAAGTAAAATTTCTTTGCAAGTCCAGAATGGTGACTAACCTTGATTAACTCAGTTAAAGTTGGTCTGTAAAGTTTTCATGAAAAGAGAAGAAGATGGGTCTGAATACAGTAAGAACAGAAGAGAAAAAACAGAGATACCTGTTGCTTCTCCTCAATATTTTATTAGGGAAAATGTTCGGACATAGGAAAGGTTTTTTTTAAGATTTTATTTATTCATTTGAGACAGAGAGATACAGAGAGAGAGAGAGCATGAGCAGGGGGAAAGGCAGAAGCAGGCTCTCTCATGAGCGAGGAGCCCAATGCAGGGCTCGATCCCTGGACCCGGGATCATGACCTGAGTTGAAGTCAGTCATTTAACCATCTGAGCCACCCAGGTGCCCCCAGACATAGGAAAGTTTTAATAATTTTACAATGAATATCCATCTATACACTACCTATAGTCTACAATTAACATTTTCATGCAGTAGCATTATCTCATCTCTGCCCATCTATCCATCCCCAATCACTACATTACCCTTTCTTATTTTTTATATGATTCCATTTTAATCATTCAGTCTGTAGCTTTCAGAAACCCAAATCTGCTGTTTTTGTTCTTTGAGGTGAATCATCCGTGAACACTTAAGTCCATCAGCAATTTTCTTTTGGTCTCTTATAGTTACACACTGTGCTGAGTCCTGGGGAGTCAAAAGCTCCTCGAAGATTAAAATCTC